TCCTTATATCTATAGTTATTTATTTATGTTTACACTAATTGCTCTTATGACATTTTTCTTCTAACAAAGCATACAATAATGACATAATTTGTTAAGAAATCTACAACTAATTGAACTTCCTTGCTATTTATTTTTACAATTTGTAATTGAATATTTACTAAGAAATCTATACATACACACATGAGAAAAGTTGCTATCTAGAGATAAACTCTAATGTTTCCTAATATGTTATAAACTCTAAAGCTTGTGGGCATTCCCAAAGCTACAATATCCCGAAAAACCTGCTCTAATCTAAAGGATGCCTTGATACTACCATATATATACGATTGTTAAGGGGTTCCAAATCACGTTGCCTATATCATTTTCACCACTGGAAGTGGACAGCTAGTAACTTTTTAACACTCGTCAGCTTAAATCCGCAACCAATCGAACTCATCTTTCCTAGCTTTTACAATAACCTGAGTTAGCAGAAAGTGCCGCACATGTTTACACATTCAGCAGCTTTTGAGCATTGATGCCACATATCCCTTGATAATCGGAAATATGTTGCTACTGAAGAATAACAATGTTAGTTTTTTGTTTTTTATGCTTAATTAATTGATTACATATTTGTTGCAGGTGTAGGTGCATCCCTGTTCATCGATTTCTCAGTGCATGAACAAATAGCATCCTACCTGCATGGCCGCTACGAGCTATTCTAATTTTATCGATTCCAAAAGCGAGGGAGTCTACAAAGCTATACAAAAATCCAGGGCTCGGGTACCGTGTTGCTTGACTCCCTTCCATCACCAGTGCCAATTCTGTCAGTGAAACCAGCTCAATCGAGACGAATATTTAAAGTCGATGAAGGCAGTTAACGGTACAAATAGAAGGAGACTAAGCAGCCACTGTTACAAACAGTGTAACTCATCTATGCTTGCCAATATGTTTATATATATATATATATATATATCTGTATGCATTTCCAATACTCACTGTCGTATTGTCTGGATTTGATCCGTTTCAGGCTCAGTTACCAGAACCGGAGTTTCCACGTCGCCATTCCTGAATAGTTCAAGGTGTCAGGTGAACTGCACGTTTCTCATTCAGTGCCCAACACTCCATCTGAAATCGTCAATAGCACCAACAGAAGCCTTTTTTTTTTTTTTTCCCCTGTATTCCGGGCTTCAGTGCAGCGTTGAAAAGTGAGGCTGCCGAGAATTTATTTTGACGGATGTCGAATCTTCTTGCCCAAGTGGGTCGCGTCGCCCATGAACCACCACGACCAATGCTGCAAAACCGAGTGGAATCTCTCTCTGTGTTGTGTATAATTTGTCCAGATTTCTAGCACATTGAACACGTCAAGCACAATTCTGATGCGGCAGCATCGCTGCTGCAGATCAACAAGTGGCAAACTCCCCAATTGTTCGGCATGAGAATCAGGCACTTACACTTGTTCCCTCTTTCGGTAAACTTCGCCAGAGTTGAGTCCATCTTCTGGTGTTGCCTAGTTGTTGTTGTTGGTTGAGATTGTAAACTTCTTTGTTGGTAAATCGTTTTCAATCGGCTACGTTTGCTTTATAGTAAATAAAAATCTACCTCCTAGCCTCCATTCATAATTAAGTTGGGTTTTGTAGTTTTGTTATGAAGACTCCCGCTTGCTTCAGTTCACGTTCTTGTGGTTCACCACACAGAGATTTTTGTGTTTTTTTCATTGTTTCTGATTATTTTCTCTCTCAAGCATTAATTCTGATCCTTCTGCAGTGATTTATATGGACAAAAGCTTTTTTCTTTTCTTTTTTTTTAATTTTTTTTGTCTTTGCCTATCTGGCCTGGGAGATCTTCTTGGTTTGTTAAGGTTTTTGACCCTGATTGGAAAGTCTTGTCTAAAGATTTAAATGACACAAATCTTGTGTCATTAGTGTATATTATGGAGTGTGATATACTTTATTGAATTATGATTTTATATTGATCATTAATATGGACAATGTTGACACAATAACATCAAACTAAGGAAATTAGTGACTATTTATAAGTTGCTTGTGTTGAACATAAAGTACAACTTTTTAATTTCTATGTAAAGTTTTTATAATCATTTATAAACACAAAAGAAGTTAATATTTTGTAAAATATTTTACAAAATATTTAATTTTCTAATATGAATTATTTATATTTAGGATCTTATTAATAATCTTATATAAAATTGTCTAATTTAAAATATAAATAGTTAATGACTTCATAATTTTTTTAAGAAAATATTTAAAATTTGAAATTATTAGTATATTATTGTAATATATATTTCACAAAAACAAGCTTTGGTATTCTTTAAAAAGAGATAAAATGCTTAAAAATCTAAAAAATTAATAAATCTTTAATTTTCTTTTAATTGATAAAATTTTCAATTATATGAATTTAAATTTAAAATAAAATATAGTAGAAATAAAAAAATTAATTAATTAGATTTTGTAAAGAGTCTTACTATTACTTTACTATATCATCTCTATTCTTTGTTCTTACAAATAAATCATAATATTTCAATTTTTGCAATTATCTTAGAAATATTAATTATCTTAATAATTAAAAACATTTTAAATGTACCTTTAAACTTTACTTTTTAAATTATTACTATTTTATTTTTTATTTTTATTGAAGATATTCTATTTTAATGGATATTTCATTAATAGTATTTGTGTCTATATATAATTTATATTTATGAAATTATTATTATTATAAATTTGAATATGTTATAAAATTTAAAAAATATACATATTTTTTATCTTCAATAAATATTTAGATAATCTAAATAGATAGAAGTAAGTAGAAGTAAGTAAATTTGATAATATCTTGTAGAAAAGCTTCTTAGATGATTCATATATGCAAACTTATATTTACATATGCTTGTAGGTTATTACTAGGTTGAAAACTTTGCCAATAAGTTGGCCATATGTTGTACATATTGGTTACTTGTGGTACAAATTAAACATATGGCATACATATAAAAAACTTGCTTTACAAATTAGACATGTGTCTTGCAAGTTAAACACATGTTAGAGGTTCTATAGAATGTTGCCATGTTATTCCTAATTAGATAGTATATATAGATGCAAGAGTGAGGCCTTCCTTACTCTTTTCAACTCCTTTCTTGGTTCTATTCTAGTTTTAAGAGTCTCTAGTTTTTTAATCTTTAGCTATAACCATTCCATTTTTTTTCTTGAATACATATATTTACATATTTATTTTTTGACATCTTTATTTGAAAAACGTCTCACTTCTTTATTTACATTCTTTGAGCTCTTGTCCTTAATACTTTATTCTTGATATCTTTTAAATAGTCAATTTTTGCATATAATTGCTCTAGTAATAAATTTTTCTAATAAATTTTGCTTTTGATATTGTTAACAATAGATTTTCAACATTATCTTTTAAAATGTATCAAAATTGTATAATTAGAGTCTTAACCTTCTAATTCATGTGGTAAAGCAAGTTATTAGACTTTGGCAACAAAAATAGCAAATGAATAAGATCTTTGTTACAAAAATGATTTTTTTTTTTTTTTTTTTTTTTTTTTTAATCTTTTTTTGACTACTCTCTTTGTTTTTTGCTATAATTATAACTAAAAATAAGTTTAAATTATACAAAATTTAAAAATCCTCACCCATTTAAGATACAAATCAAGAAATAATAATACCTTCAAATAAAAGTATGTGTGTAAATCTTACTCGAGTAATTTTATTAGACTATGAAGAAAAATGAAATCTTAAAATAATCTTTAGCATTTTGATCTTGTTCCATTAAACTTCTTTGATATATTAATCTTTAACTTCTTTATGCTTATAGAAGCAAGTCTTTTAGAATTTACTTATAAATTTGATCTACTTATTCTTGATTTTTTTAATTGAATAATTTAATAAGATCAATAAATATAATATCAAATCTCAATCTTCTTTAACAATAAGGTAGAAGTTTTTCTTTTTTCTTTTAAGAACATCAAAATAAATTATAACTTATAAATTAATTTTTCTTAAATCCACATTATTTTTGATTTACTAATTTATTTCACTTCACAAAATTTTATTTTTGGAATATTTTTTATTAAATAAAAATTCTATTATCAATAAAAATATTAGCAAAGAAAGAGAATATTAGAATACAAATAAATCACAAAGGTCTATAAACACTTTCAATAAAGCCTTGTTCAAGGCTAATATTTATAATATAACTATGATATGAGAGGAGACCATACCTTATGTAGCAAAAACATCTTAAAAAGTTTATATAAAATGCTTTAAAACAAAAAAATTCTTATTAAATATGGTTTTGGTAAAGAAATATTATTTATATTATTTTATATATTTTATTTTTCAATAAAATAAATATTTTTTAAATAACCAATATTATACTTAAATGAATTTGACTTGATACTTTATTTACTAATTTAGAAAATTACAATTATATATATATATATATAATTTTGTAACATTAAAATAAATGTAAAAATATATATATATATATATATATATATATATATGAACTTTAATATGTTTTATTATGTTGATACTTTATCTAATAATATGATTTATAAGGATTCAGAAAATCCTCTAACTGTTATAAAACAGCTCCAAAATTTGAAACCAAAATTCATTTTACAACAGAAGATTGATTGTAACACAAAAGAAATCTCAATATTTCCCTGTTTTGTAGCACAATATATTAAGTTTTGTTTTGCAATTATTTATATATATATATATATATATATAGGGGGTGTGTGTGTGTGTGTACATATCCACAAACACACTACAAATATCCTTTTAGAATGTTCAAACCTACATAGAAACTCGCCTTAAAATTTCTGACATCAAAATGAACCCAATTAAGTGTCATATATACATGAATGCATATCCAGAGAGAAAGAGTAAGTGTAAGCATGCTTTTCATCAAACCTCTCACATTCAAAAGTCCACATTTAGGGTTTACACTTCTTTCTTTCTCTCTTTCTTTCTTTCGTTCGTTCGTTCTGTCTTTCTGTCTTTCTATCTTGCTTGCTTCCTTTCGTTGTTGTGTGTTGATTTTTGGGGTGTTGTTTCCTTGTCGTCTTTTTTCCTGCGAGGGAGAGGACGCCATCTCTGTTCCTGTTTCATCCGCCAAGTCCATCGCTGCTGATGCTTATGCCAAGCCCACTCACCGCATGGCATTGCATGAACTTCACTTATCGAGAGACGACGGCGGCGAGACTCGAATTGCCTGCTGCCAACCGGCTAACGTTGCCGACGTGGTTGTTCATCCCCCTCCCTTTGAAGCTTCACGGTGAAGGCAACGGGAATCGGGGGGTACCCACCTGACGAGGCTGCTCCATTGAAAGCTTTTCATGAAGCTTGAGGATTCTCACAAGTTACAGGGAACCGCCATTGTTTTCAGACCATCGAGCTCTAGAAGTTGTGCCGGCCATCTCCGACTTTCCACCCAGTTCGAACCATTTCAGCGGGAGCATGGTGCAGCGACAGGGAGATTCTCGAGGTCAGTTGATCGAGACATGCTTGGTGTGAGTGGATTACTTGTTGCCATAGTCTAGTGGCCATGATCTTGCGTTGTTGCATGATTTCACCTCTTCAGTAGGGCTTGTTCGAGGGATTGTTTTGGAACTGTTCTCTTCCTTTGGTCTTCTCTTTGTTGCCTTCGACCTGCCCTTTCCCTCCATGTACTGTAGCTTGAAGTTACTACTAGGATCCTTGACGATGGAGGGATAAAGATACAAGTAGGTCTATACCGTGGCTTTGAATTCAAATGCTTGCAGGTTCTATGCTTTGAGCATGTGTTCTACTTGTCGAAGATGTGAAACTCTTGCCCAGCTGAGTGGAGAGAGCAAGACCAGTTTATTCGCACTTCCGTTCGTCCACCAAGATTAGCTTAAAGATGAGTTCGGATTCGGCTGTAGCGGACTCTTTGGAAACGGGACAGATTGTGTGGTGCGGCGGAATTGAGGTAGATCAAGATGTTTCTATCCGCCTAGTACCTAGCGGGACCGATCTCGCAGGATGCAGCGATAGTGAAATTCGCGACAAGACTCTCGTGCTGGTAAAGATACATTCCAGGCGTCTGAGTCAATACAGCAAGTATTTCGAGACGTGCTTGAGCGAGAGATGGCGGAAGCCAAATCCATTGTCCACTGTGAGCGAATTTTTTCTGGAGGTTCACTCGGATGTCGAATACTACACAGCCTGCTTCAGTCGCATGTACTCGCCGTTTCAAAAGGACTTCGGAGAGATCAAACATTCCGTAGAGCTTCTGAAGGTGGCCTCGCAGATTGAGTTTCACGAACTAATGGACTCCATCTCCCGGTACATATCCGCTATCCACTGGTCCAACGAGGATGAAGTCAGGATTCGAGAATACTCTTACTCCCCAGATTTCCACGGTGGTCACGCCACAGACCTTATTGCTCGACTAGGACTACACATGAACGATAGAGATCGTTACAGGCACTTGTGCGACGTTTACCAATATTGGATTCGCTCGGCAATGTCCCATAATGACAACTTCAAGAACACTCGCACACTGATTGAGGAATTTTTGCATGGCGTTGGATCTGGGACCCCTGTTAATGTCGCCAAGACGGTGGTGACAATTGTCAGTAACGAGGCAAAAAATACGCTCAGTGCAATTGACAAAGAGCATAATGAGACTCTTCAACCTCAACAGTCCACGATTTTTAAGCTTGCACAGAAGCTTTTAGCGGTCTGCTGGGTGTTGAGATCTCTCTTAAACGCTAGGGTTGCCGAAGAGCTGGTTCTGTGCATTGTCCACATGGAGGATCTTCCTTCAATTGTCATAAGAATGAATTATTTCAATGCGCCTCATTGCAATGCGGCTGGGATGGAAATGGCCAGGCTTATTCTGCGGTTGTATACGGCCGTGCTGGAAGGGGACCTGCTATTAAGCACTGCAGAAAGGGTCGCCCTCTTGAAGAACTGGCATGTGGTGCTGGAATCCTTTGTCTCTCAAGAAAGCTATCACCACATCACGAAGAGCTTCTTTTTGACATTGCCTCTGGGTGAACAGACAGAGCTCATCAAATCGCGGCAAGATATGTTTGTAGGTTTCATTGACATCAGTTCTTTGGTGGCGCTTTTGAGAGAGAGCTGGCCAGATTCGGAATCGGACTGATGCATCCTGACCCCAATTTTGTGCTCACTAACGCAGTGCCTGGTTTCTTCTTCTGAAAATCGTTTGATCACGAAGCGGTCATCCGCTTGCTCCTGCTGATGTTCCAGGCTTTCCTGTAAGATATCGCCGACAATGAGAAAATATTTTTAAAACGTCATGAATATGTTAGAAACATGCTAGCAAAGCTTGTGGTCAGATTAAGCATCCTGTTTGGTGTTATATTTGCAATGCGTGAATTTGTAAGAGATTTGAGAGGGTTTTAGCAGGAATTTGATCGTTATGAGGGCATCTACTGCTTTATGGACGTGACGCATATTTCAAGGATGTTGTATTGCTGCCGAACATTTAGACTTCAGCAGGAATCTATAATCGATTCTGTGATTTATTCCATTGTATCCAATGTTTTTTGTTTTTGTTTTTTTTTTTTTTTTTTTGTCGATCTAGAGTTGATCTTTTTTTCGATCTGTTAAATTGTTTATATGTAAATATGAAAACATGAGAAGAAAATTGTACCCTTTCAATTGGGGAGGATGTCTTGCAAGTCTCCAGGAAGGTGGCCACCAGCTTTGTTTATTTTTTTTTGACATGTTCGTTTGGGATGAAATTGTTGCGATGTGTTGTAGGGATCCAAACGGTCATTAAAGTTTTTTATTATTCAAATGTTAAAAAATAAACTTGGATAATGTAATGGTGTTAGAAACCAATTCAGTTCATGCAGTGAAACTGTTTACTTCTGTTCTGGGCAGTGTCATATTTTGCATGTGGTTTGTGAAGTAACAATTTTTTATATCATCACACCAAACTTGTCAAACATTAACAAATTTTACAATGACTTTGTAAAATTGTATTCGTGATTTGAAACTAAAACTTCAACGTGGTGCATTAAAACAATTTTTGTTTTTACAGGCCGTCTATCAAAAACTAATTTAAACGTGGGCGTTTAACTATTCTACTACTACAAGACTAATTTGATGTAAATGAAACAACGTTGCACCAACAAAATAATTAATTGACAGTGGAAATATCACCATTTTTTACAATCACATTTTCAGGTGAAGTACTGTTTCTTATTGAGCTTGAAAGCCTGTTGTGTTCTTAAAAATCAAAATCAAAGTCAATATCGTGACTTCTGTGCAAAAAGTTTAGAAATAACAGAATTGTAGAACATGGAATACAAAAGAAATGGCAAAATATTAACTGAAAGAAACGAATTTTCAAAATCTTAAAGAATCTCCTTACTCGTTTTCAACTATGTATACACATTCCTATTTCTCAGTAGCAGATTCGATATAAGACACATTTAGATAAGTCTACTTTCTGAACAATCTAAAGTTTCCTTCTCCCTCTGTTTTTGTTAGTGTGTACGTTGTTTTTGTGGGTTACGTTTTCACTGGACATATGGAAATTAGATTTTAGGTTAGGTTTCAAAATTCTAATCAAGCATGATTAGAATTTGATAACCGGCATTCCAGCCGCCAACTGTTTTGATGCAATCACAAATGCCCTCATCTGACAACCCAACACCATCTCAAACTTCTAAATTTGTCTTTCACTAAAGTTTAAGGGTTTTGATTACTAACAACAATGTCCTACATTTTGAGTAGAAAGTTATCAGCCCTTCTCTGTCTACTTCCTACGGATGATCAAGCCAACAGTTGCTACTGCTTTCTTGCCCTTTTTCTTTCATTAGGGCTTCGTGGTGCCTCATTCCACAACATGCAATTCATCATCGAGCTCCGATCGCTTTCATGATCTCGTGCTCCATCTGTCTATTTATTCTGACAATTCAGATCGAGTTTCGACGTGATTTTGGGCTTGATTGTGTTGCTTCCGACAGCTTCCAAGCTTTTCCAATTCTTCATTCAACTCTTGCTCGTTCATGTGACACCGGTCCGAGTAACTCTGTGTAAGAATTGAACCCCAATCCTCGTCGTCTTTAAGCGGTTAAACTCAAACACAGGTGTTGTTCACACACACACACTCCCACACAGTTATTTGAGTGAGATTGTGAGTCTCACCGTAAGTTTCATCGGCTACCGAAAACACGATTCTATTCTTAGATTCAGGGGAGTCAACGATGTGATTGTTGTGGTTTCCATGAAGAGCCGCAAACCCTAAAATCAGATGCACAGCTTTGAAGGAATTAGGGATATGTTTCAAGCCCTAGTTTCGGAAGCGTTAACGCGTATCTGCACAATTCCGATAAACGCATACTTAGGGTGGAAATGGTGTTTGAAATTGTTGCAGAAGGGCATCAGATTCAGGAGTTTTAGGTCACAGAGTTGGCCGATTTTCTGTTTAACAGATACATCCTTCGATGAACACAATTCAGTCTTTTCTGTCGTATGGGAGATTTCGTGCCTTTCCAGGTTTCGGTTTTCGGAGCGAGGTATAAATGCCCGTGGTGTATTGTGCATACTGTGGCCAAATTAGGTCACAGATTGCCATCGTCGCCTACTCGGTGACCATTTCCCGTGGGAATCGGCGAATATCTGCTTTGTTTCGGGCGCTCGAAACTGCCTCGAATGATTGCGTAAGAAAGCGTTGAGGATCGTGGTGCGATAGTAGGCAGGGAGTTGGGTGGAGCTGCAGCCGCCCCTTGGCGTTCTGGAGGCCGCCACCTGAATCATTATGTGTGGTGATAGAATTTGAACTACAGAGATCATTTTGGTGGGTTGCATCATGGTGCTTGGGTTTAAGTTTTGAAGAAGAAGAGCCGGAAGGTCGATTCTTCTGTCGAGTATATAGCGTTGACGGTGCATGCAGGGAGTGGCGTGGGCTTGCGATCAAGAGAGGAAGGGATTGTTGGGTGTGTGATCAGGGGATTAAGGAGGGGCTTCCTTAGAGTGAATTTGGCCCGAAAGGGTGGGGGGCGGCCGTGAGAGGCCGTGGGTGGATGGAGCAAGCTGGCTACCGTAACAGAAGTCGTGGTGGTGTGCTCAGGGGCGGATGCGGGGGTTACGGTGTGGGATTTGCACTCCGGCCTTGTGTTATCACACCTCCGCTCCTGCGCCTCGCCGCGCAATGCACTCGCTCCCGTTGGATCCCACTTTCTGGCGGCTGCCCAGGTGCCTAAGCCCTCGGGTGGAGCTGGAGGTGGCGCCATCTACTTCTGGGCTTGGCACAAGGTAAGGGCCTCTCCTATCCCATATTGATACTGCATTGGGGTTGTTTCTGTGTCGGGTGGCATTGAAGGACTATAAACTTCAGGCAACGCCTTCGCTTCTGCTGTCGCTATGGGCTTTCTGGAACAATTTATATCATCACGGTTGAGTTGGCTTACATTTGTAGGATTTCTGTTTTGTGGAAAGGTGGTTTCTTCCACAGGCACAACAATTCATGTTAACCCCATTATGTTTTCAATGTGGGCAATAAACTGGAATACCTTGGCATGGCTCTGGGTATTGTTGAATAGAGCATAATCGTTTGGAAATGTAGGTCATTCAAAGACAATTGTCGGAGGTCGTGAAGTGATGCGGTGGGTGACGGACTGTAATTTTCGTTTTATCTGTCCTGAAAACAGAGTCAAGTAGCATTTAAGAGCTATCCCGTGGAGCCTATCGGTCCTCTGGCGTGCACCAGCGATGGAGCTTACCTTGCCGGTGGTGGTGCGTCTGGTCGAATCTATTTCTGGGAGGTGAGTCGTAGATGTGTACCTGAGAATGTCAATGTCACGAAAGGCACTGTATGAACCGAAACGTTTCATGAGACATATGGCATGCAAAGCAGAGGAGTTGTTGATGAGGTATTCGTTTGTTCAGTCTTTTTACCGAAGGATCTTTTTCGTCTGTTGAGCCGGTAATCTGATTTTCTTTGTGTTTTTGGCGGAATAGGTGGCGACCGGGCGGTTGCTGAGGCTTTGGTCTGGCCACTACAAGAACGTCAGCTGCCTAGTGTTCTCTGATGACGACTCGTTGCTCATTTCTGGAGCGGATGACGGCCTCGTTAATGTCTGGCCTCTTATCAGGTCCGTCTTCTCGACTGATGTTCAGCAGATGCTATGACCCCAATTTTAGCACATAAGCCACTATTCATGTGTTTGGATTAAGCTCAAGCTACTCCTACGATCATGCTTAATATGTTTCTCTTCCATTTAATGTTTTTTGACCATGATTACTTGTTTGAGCTTAAACCCTAAACCCCTACAGCAATATTAGGTTTTGAAGTATGTGAAGCACCCGTTTCTTGTAGTTAGCGTGTGTACTTTCTGTACAGGGTTCTGGATATGGGAGAGGATGGCCAAGGAGCAGACGGACAAGTTGCTGCGATGTATGGGTGGTCTGACCACACCTTGCCAGTTACAGGACTTGTTTCGGGCTCTGGTGGCTCTAGTGCTATTGTCGTGTCCTGCTCTTTGGATCACACATGCAAGGTGATCCTTCATCATGTCTTCGGCTCTTTCTGCTGCGTGTTAGAAGTACTTCTCTTGTGTAGCCCTCACTGAAAACAAAAGGTTGACTTTTATGGAAGTTGAATCTTTTGTAGTTATCTCTTAGAAGGATGTATCATTGATTTTTTTGAACCTGTATTATGTTCGAAAGGTTTAACACATTCAATCTAGTAAGCCTGGATCTAAATTTGGTGAAATTGTTATTTGTGTTCAAGTTTCTCCATCTCTCACAGAAGTGGGTTGTATTTTCGCAGATCTGGAGTCTTGCTCTTGGAACTCTTCTGAGGTCAATCGTTTTCCCGACAGCATTGAATGCTATTGTATTAGATCCTGGTGAATATGCGTTGTATGCCGGCGGTGCTGATGGCAGGATTTTCACTACCGCTCTAAATTTTGGAGTGCCTACCACGGCTGGAATTTTGGCCGATGGGAACCTTGGCACGGATGCCGCTCTTATTGGTCACAGGTAAATAGTAAACTTTCTCTACTATTTTGCTTACATGAGCTGCCACCGTTGCCATGTTTGTTACCGAATCCGATTGTAATTACAACCCAAATTTCCTGATTCCTGCGTCATAAAATGGTGGTTTTGCGGTTAAGGGTTGCATTTGCAATTGTCGATAATCGCGATATGATATTGCATTATGAAGTGATAGTGCAGTTCTTTGTTTATGGTAGTGGCCTCGGGAGAATGAACAGTGTGGATTTTTACTGAAGCCGTTTATTTTGGTGTGAGCAGTCGTGCAGTCACATCGTTGGCCTTTAGTATGGATGGAGTGTCGCTGGTTTCTGGATCTGAGGATTGCACAGCACGTCTCTGGGACACATCAAGTCGTCAAGTTCTGAGAACCTTCGCACAATCTAAAGGTTAGACCCTGAACCATTTTTTACACGTGTCGAACAGATCCGGGAACTTGAATTACTTTGTCAATGTTTGTGATAAAACTAACACCTTCGAAGCGTGTGATGAAGCAAGTTGTTTTCAGCAGACCATTCTTATCGGATGTTTTCGACAACCGCTGGGTGAACGCTAACCTGTTGAAGTAGTGTCTAATTTTTGTTTTGTTGTCGTCGTGAAGTGGAAACATGTGCACTTTCTTGTAAGGATGCTAAAATCACTGTCTGTTTGATCAACACAGGACCCATTAGTTGCTTGCTAGTGTTACCGCGATCTTTAGTACAATCTCATGGTTCACAGCCGGGGCGATCTGTGAATAGGCGAGCTCCAACAATTCCAGTGGCTCCATTAAGCAAGTATGTTGCGTCAGATGCGGTGGCTCATGATGCGAACCCTTGGGAAGGACCCCTTGTTGTGCTTCCTTCTTCGTATCCAGAAGATGAAGATTTTGAAGGTCATTCATATAGCTACGTTGCCATGGAACGCCAAATTAAAGAGCTAGAGGTTAGTATTTGCTTCACATGACCCTATATTTATTTCGATACTCCAGCAGTTTTATTCAATACTTTTGGACATAAGTATGTTCCTTGATTCGCATCCTAAGACTGCACTAACTCGAGGTTTGTTTCGGACAGCAACGTGGATCTACGGCAGCTATGCAAATGGAACTTGAAAGATTAAGATCGGAGTTGCGCCGGGCTTTGAATAATGGGCAGCAATGGCAACAACTACATCAGGAATTGTATTGCTTTTGTGTAGATGAGTTAATGGGTGGTAATAAGGAGAGAGATGAGGATGAAGAGAAAGACGGAGAGAAAGATAAGGAAAAAGATAAAGATAAGCTTAAAGGAAGAGGAAAGGTAGTCGATACGATGCGGGACAAGTAAAATGTAGAGAACTGTGTTACCTAGTCAGAATCTTCTTATGTCCTGGTTTTGGAAATTTAGCTGAAAATATTGCCACCTTTGCTGTTCTTACTTGGGAAGTAGCCGGGTCTATTTCTAGTAGTCGTGTTTCAAAAACTCGTCACGGTGCCTCTTCTTATTGATGCATGCGCCTGACAGTTGTTCACGTAGTCTTTTTTTGCAGTCCAATGGAAAGAATTCTGAAGTTATTTGAATGGATGTTACCCCTGTACTTTGGATAAAGATCATCTAAAATGGAATTACTGACAATATTTAAGTCTATTTAATTTTCTGTTTCTGTGTAAATTAATAAAGGGAGAAATATTCGTTTAGTCTGAATAGATAAAGGTATATTCTTCTATTTACAGCAATGTGCAGTGGTCAGTTTGATGGAAGTAGTTTGCTTGCGGTGTCGGTATGCATATTGGCTATGGATATCGATCACGCTGCACACTCGAAATTCTCAGAATCTGATGGTTCTCGTAGTAGCTGATAATTCTTACTCACGATAAAACTGAAGACTCCGAGCTATTGTTTTTACATAACTCTTATTTTTCTTTTCAATATTTTCCTTTCTCAGGAAGTCTTTGTGATGAAATGTTGACTGTCCTTTGTGAGCTCTATTCAGACTAAACGAACTGTTCCGAATCCTCTCCTCAGGTGATCGATATCTAGGTACCTGGCTCTTGCCTTGGGAGGCTGTTTGGGGTCCATGCTCGATCCTTCCCGATACATTATTTCCATCTTTTCTCCAATTCTATTTCATGCCCATTGAATGTGATTTAATGGTTCACTTCATACATTTGTCCTAATGAAGCAACTATTTTTACCACAGCAAATCAATTGTGATTCTGTTGTTGATTAATGTCTGAATTTGCAACTGCATCGTCCAGAGCAGGCACTTGGGATTGTGAATGAAATGCCAATTTTTTTCAAGTACTTTTCCTTAATTTCCTTAGTAGAGACTGAAAGAGTCAATGTACTATTGAAATATTCAGAGTTTAGGGTTTAGGGTTTAGAATTTAGGGTATTCATTGATGACTTTAGCACCCAGTCTTTCAAGATAATACATCTTGAATGTGTCAAAGTTAGTCTTCAAAGGTATAGGAAAGTTAAAATTGCCTTAAATCTTGATAAGATATTCCTAACAATTAAAAAGATAGTCCTACTAGGATATGTGATGTTTGAAAATGGTAGGAAATTTGATTTAGAGAAAGTCAAGGTAATTGTGGAATTAAATCCTCCTTCAACAATAAAAGAAGTACAAAGAACCTTTAAGCACATAAGATGGTATAGGGAAGTGATATATAATTATGCTATCACTTCTATGTCCATTACTTGACTTCAACAAAAGAATGTGAAATTTGAGTGGAATGAAAAATTCTTAAAATTAGATATATGCTAAGTTTTGCCTTAAGAATGTTAAGAGGTATTTAACATTCTCAAGGCAAAACTTAGCATATATCTAATTTTAAGACAACTAAATTGGTCATTAGCCTTCCATGTGCTTTGTAATGCTTCCTTTATAGTAGTAAGTTGTGCAGAAAGGAATTACACCATAACATAAAAGAAATGCCTTGCCATGGTTTTTTTTGTCAAGAAATTTAGATATTACTTCCTCTTGAATCTAGTAGTATTCTTTGTAGACCACATATTAATCAGGTACCTTGTAAATAAGGTTGATTTAATTGGTAGACTAACAAGGTAGATGCTTCTACTAGAAGAATTTGATTATATGATAGAATACAAGCTAATAATGATGCATATGGAAGCAAATCATTTATTTATGTTATTAGAACAAATTGGTGAAGCTCCAATTAACAATACCTTGATAGATAAGAGTCTATTTATTGTTTTAACCATCTTTACTTGGTATGAATTGATTACCAAGTTTCTGACAATCCAAATCTTATCTTCTAACTTTTCTAAAATAAAATGTCAAAATGTACAAATTAATGGTAGGCACTTTGACATAGTTGGCATCAAATTGTATAGATGTAGAATAGATGAGATATTAAGGAGGTGTGTGATAGGAAAAGAAATTCCTACCATTTCATTGACATATCACAATAGCTCATATAGAGGACATTTTTTGGGAACCTTAATTGGACAAAAAATCCTTAGAATCAGCTATTATTGGTCCACCTTATTCTAAAACATCCATAAATATACTAAAATATGTAATGCATATCAATGGTATGCTAGAAATGACTTAAAGATGAGTTTGCCCTTTTATGTGTCCTTACTTTTAGTTTCATTTGAAAAATAGGGAATTGATTATATTTAGGAAGTTTTATTCTAATTCTACTAATGGAATGAAATACATAATGGTAGCAATTGAATATCTTATCAAATAGGCTAAAGCAAAGGCAATTAAAGTCAATGATACTAAGCAAGTAGCCAATTTTTTTTACAAGTAAATTATTATTAAATTTGGATGTTTAAAGATCCTAATTAGTGATAAAGATGAGCATTTTTTAATGAAGTGATGAAAGAGTTGACTTTATAATTCAAAATTGACCATAGAAAAAACTACCCCATATTACTTTGAAGCTAATGGACATATAGAGTGGATAAATGAAACCTTAGTTAATATCCTCAAGGAAATTATAACAACTTCCAAACAAGATTGGAATATAAATCTCCCTACAGCCTTGTAGGCTTGTAAGACTACATTTAAGGTGACCACCCAAGCCATCCTATTTTCCTTGATTTATGGAATAAAAGTAATTTTATCAATTGAGTTGAAAATTCCTTCTGTTCAAATTGCCTTGATAGAAAGATTGTCAATTAAACAATCTCTAATAGATTGATTGGAACAATTAGAAGATTTGGATGAAGCTGGGAAAAAAAAAAAATTGAAATATAAAGGCTATACAACAAAGAAGAAAAATAGCCTTTGACAAAAGATATATAGTTAAAACTCTTAAGGTAGACATGTTAGTACTTTTATAAGATATTATGAGATTAGATTTTCTAAGAAAATTTGATGCCATATAGTTGGGACTCTATTTGGTAAAAGAAGTCTTCTCCAATAATTTTGTATGATTACAAACATTCAATGGAGAAGATTTTCCTACCAAAGCTTCTAGCAATAGGTATAAAGAATATAGAGTGTGATTTTTATCACATACAAGATTAAACATCTCATCCTTATCTTTATCCTTATCCAATTTATTAAATGACAAAATCATCAAAACGACATAGAATTTAAGAAATTAAATATTAGATTTCAAGCTAAAAAATAGAATTATTTATTAGTCTTTCTTCTTTTTAATTAATCTCCTTTGCCATGTAATTATAGAAATTCCAAGTAAGGGCAAAAAAAATACTTGACTAAATTTTCAAAAAAAAAAAAAAAAAAGAAAAAAAAGAAAAAAAAAGTATTAAAAATTCTATGTCAAGTCGTATTAAAACATTCAAAGTTTGTAGAAGTCTTGGTTAAATGAGAGATTGTAATTGAGTATCTTGGATTTGAATCTAATTGAAAAAATGACTATTTCAATGATCTAGTATTAGTACATGAAAGGCCAACATTTGTTAGGGACATAGTCCTTAGAACCTTCTAGAAGCAAGTCTCTGGAACCTTCTAGAAGCTTCCTAGTTGGTGGAAGTTGCTTGAGAAGCTTCCTAGTTGATAGAAGTTGCTTGAGAAGCTTCTTAGTTGGTGGAAGTTGCTTGAGAAGCTTCCTAGTTGGTGGAAGTTACTTGAGAAGCTTCCTAGTTGATAGAAGTCGCTTGAGTAGCTTCCTAGTTGGTAGAAGTTGCTTGAGAAGCTTCCTAAATAGGAGTATATATTGGAATCGAGGCTGAAGAGTTCTTCAGTCTCGACAACACATCTCTTGGAGCTCTAGCTCACCTCTCTAGTGTTGTTCTTATATTCATCCGATTAATCTAGTTCTTGCCAGTTCTTCTTGAACTTCTTGTTAGATCTCGAGCCTATATTCCTGTGTCCGTGACAGTTTGTCGAGACTGAACTCACCTCAGATATTAGAGCTAGTTTCTTCTTCGTTAGAGAATAGATGACCCCTCTGCTTGAAGGTGTACTAGCATTTTAGAGGTTGCTGATTACCTTGCTCTAAACTAATACTTCTTTTGTTACAATATTGGAGTCTTATTCTTCTTGGAGAGAGTGGATTACCCCTTTTCTTGAAGCTCTTAAGGCGTTTTAGAGGTTGTGGAGTACCCTCTTCTAAATCAATATTGTCTTCTTGTAGAGTCATTTCTGTCCTTCTCTTAGAATGGCTGGAGGCCAAGACATTAGTATGACAGAAAGTTTGGAGTTCAAGTTGGACGCTATCATGAATGCCCTTGCTACGTTATCGCAAAGAACTGCAGAAATTGAAGGAGTCGTGGCAAGGATTCATAATGATGGAGCATCTGAGATGGCACAATCTAGGTTGCACCAGCCTCAAACTTCTACACTTGGAGAAGCAACTTTGCGTCAAGTTCGACAAGCACCGTTAGTTCTACAACATAAAGAGCCCCGAGTTAGCCTTCCGGACAAGTTCGATGGCACGCGTTCCAAGTTTTGAGGATTTGTCAATCAAATCAAGTTGATAACAGTTTTACAGCCCGAACGCTATCTAACGAAGGAGTCACGTGTTGAGCTTGTTGGAACCTTACTTACAGGGCAAGCTCTATCATGGTTTGCTTCTTTGTTTGAGAAACGATCATCCATACTAAACAACTTTGAAACCTTTTTGGAGGCGTTTGCGGAAGCATTTGGTGAACACGACAAGGTTCGATGGGCTACAACAAAGATCCGGTCACTACGACAAGGGATGCGCTCTACATCAGTCTATGCATCGGATTTCAGGCAACTAGCATGCGACATCAATTGGGACGAAGAAGCATTGATGAGTCAATTCTATTGGGGTTTAAGGGACGATGTGAAGGATTTGTTGCTAACTCTTCCTGATCCGCGAACGCTCAACGAAGCTATTAGCCAAGCTGTGAAGTGCGATAACCGCCTATTCCAACGCCGCCAAGACCAACGTTCAAGACAACATACGGTTCGCCATGCCTTAACTATATCGACAAGCAACGTGAATTCACATTCAGAAGTAGAAGACATGCAAATTGATGCGGTACGTATCAAATCCCTTACTCTAAAAGAAAAAAAGCAGTGTATGGAGGAAAGTCTATGCTTATATTGTGGTGAAGAAGGCCACAAAGTTGGAAACTGTCCTAAGAAACAAAATCGACGCATTGTCAGGACCATGGGTGCGTTTGTTTAGGAAAACGAGGATGCCCAGCCACAATAGGAA